TGCTCTCAGATTTTCTGAAATGATTGTTCAGTGAAAATACCACCAGGTTCCCCCACCGGGTTTCACTTATGCAATTACTGAGAGAAGAAAAGCTAATCAACAGCACAAAGAGGAAAGCTGTCTGTGTTTAAGCACTTATTTCCTGCCCAGAGAACAGTCTGAATTCTCCCATACTGTCTAGCATCCTATCCTATCAGGGACTTTCAAAGCACAAGAGAATCTGGAACATACAAACTAAATGTCACACTCAAATCTCTCACTTTCATTCAAAAAATTTAAAGTTTAAAAAAATGATTATAAAAGTAATGAAAATTAATTATTGTCAACATTTGTGTCTTTTTTTTTGAGACAGTCTCTCTCTCTCTCTCTCCCTCTCCTCACCCAGACTGGAGGGCAGTGGCATGATCATTGCTCATGGCAGCTTCAAACTCCTGGTCTCAAGCAATCCTCCTATTTCAGCTGCCTGAGAAGCTGGGACTATAGGCACACACCACCATGCCTGGCTAATTTTTAAACTTTTTTTGTAGAGGTGGGGTCTTGCTATGTTGCCCAAGCTGGTCTCAAACTCCTGGTCTCAAGTGATCTTCTCACCTCAGCCTCCCAGTGTGCTAGGATTACAGGCATGAGCCATCATACCTGGCCTGTGTAGTCTCTATATTTGTTTGTTATATATATATGTATATATTTTTTAATTCTAACTTTTTTTACTGAATAGTCTAAAACAAGTATTTCCCCATGTTACTGAATCTTTGGACAATTGTTTTATTAATATAGCTATATGAATCATATTCTTTGAATGTCCCAGAAGTTATTTAAGATTCACATATTTGGAGGCATTTTCCCCCTACTTTTTCACAATTAAGACACTGCTGAGATCAAACTTATATATTACTCTTTGGCTACATGTCTGATTATATTTCCTTAGGTTAAATTTATAGAACTGGAATTGCTAGGTCGGAAGGTAGGAATATTTTTACTGTATCTTGCCAAATTACTTTTCAGAAAGGTTGGACCGGTCTTTCTGTCTGTTAACCCCATATGAGGGTACTCTTATTAATAGCATGAGCATGCTACATTGAATATCATTGCATTTTTATCTTCAATAATTTCATAGGTGAAAAACTGAACATTATTTTTAAATATTCTATTTACTAGTGAGAAAACATTTTATTTCCATATTTTTATTTTTTACTTTTTTTTGTTGTTGTTGTTCCAGGATTGCTCATACAAAAACCTTATGCCTGTTTTGTGTGTGAGAAGTGGATTGGGACATTTTTCTTATTGATATGTATTGGGTCTCTTTTTATATGAAAGGTATGCTGATCTTTTGTTATAATCATTATAAGTAGGTTTTTCAGGCTATAATTTGTCTTTTAATTTTTTATTTTGTATTTAGTATTCCAGAAGTTAATTTCCTATAGTCATATTTATTGTTCTTATGTCTTGCTCAGTTGCTCTTGTGCCTATAAAATCTTCCTCTGACCTAATTTTGATCTATCTTCTCTTTTTTGTTTTTATAGTTTAATTTTTTACATGTAACCCTCGTCTGTCTATATTTTATCTTTGTGTATGGTATAAAATAGAGATCTTATTTTTTTCTGTAAGAGTAATTCCAGCAACATATTTTGTAGTCCATAGCCAAGTTCCCCTTGATTGTGTTTCTCAGAAGGTTCTTATTTGTATTGGTTATGATTATCCTTCATATACATTATTGTCTTCTTCCTTTTCTCACTGAGCATTTATTAGCTATTGATTTTGATAAAATTTTTATTTTACTATGTAATAAATTACCCCAAAATATAGCATCTTAAAATAATAAACATCTATTACCTCTCAGTTTCTGTGGACCAGGAATTAAGGAGTGGTTTAGCTAGGTGATTCTGGCTCAAGGTCTTTCATGAGTTACAGTTGAGATATCAGCTGGAGCTACAGTCATCTGAAGGCTTGACTGGGGCTAGAGGATCTGATTCTAGAATGGATCAATCATACGGCTAATGGTAGGAGGGCTCAGTTCCTTGATGGCTATTGACAGGTAGCCATAGTTTCTCACCATATGGACTTTTCCGTAGGGACGCTTGAGTGTCCTTATAAACATGGCAGCTGGCTTCCACCAGAGTGAATGATCCAAGAGAAAGAATAACGCAGGAGTCAGTGTTTTTTATGACCTAGCCTTGGAAGTGGCATTCCATCACTTCTGCCATATTGTAGTGGTCCCACAGAGCATCCTGAGATAATGTGGGAGGGGACTACCTGTGCAGTATGAATTATGAAGAGGCAGGGGTCACTGAGGGCCTCTTGGAGGCTGGTTACCACACTTTTTTTCTAAGAAAAGAAATTTAGAGTCGTTATTTCTCCCTTTGTATAGATACCTTCCTATTCAATATCATTTTGTCATTTAGCCCAAGGGTAGCATTTGGAAGTTTCTTATTCCCTTAGTTTTCTGTTCCATGAACCATATCTGACTCTTAGATTTAAAACCAAGTGGAGTTTTTTCATCTGAGGCTTTGCTGTCACTGTCATTACAAGTAGCTTGAGGACAAATTTTCATTCATTTACTCGTATATTGTTATCTTTTTACTTTCCTCATCTAGCATTTGTTGGCTGTTGATTTTTTTAATGCACAACTTTCAGTGGAAGGATATTGATTTTGATGAAGTGATAAAAGAAATATAAATTGCAAAGAAATAAAACTTAGAGTTATGTGTATATACATATATGCCTGTAAAAAATTGGCACAAATACACATGTGCTCCTGTACATGTACACACACTCTCTCTCTCTGAATAGCAGGGAAGAATCTCAAGCTTTAGGGGAGGGAGGGTGCCAGAGAAAGAAAGAAACTTAGCCAAGGCCACACAGTGATATATAGTTAATGAAAAGCTTCCCCCCCCCACCCAAAGCCTGACTCACTAATTTGTAAAATATAGAAAATGACACTGGACAGCTTCGTGTTTGAAGTTAGAGTGTGTCTAGAAGGGAGAGGGAGTTCTCAGCAAGATTTGGAGGCTGAAGGTCTCACTGTGCTTCTGTCCCTTTGCTTCCCTGCACTTTGGCTGTGGCTCTTCCCAGTCAACTCCAATTTGGACTGGTAGGAGCCAGAAAGTACTGAGCACACATCAGAGTGTGGGTAATTGGGCAGTTTCCTGGCTCCCGAGAGCCACTGACTTGTTTGTGGATTGCGATCCATGGTTCCCTCCATCATGCATTTTCAGAAAGCAAACTGGCAATCAAGTAGTAATTGTTTCCTTCTGTGCTTCTGTGTGGATTTCTCATTCCTGAGACTGCCTGGCAAGGAGGAAGTTGGCTCTGAGAAGAGTAAAGGGACCTGGAATTAGACATCAGGCCTGCAGTGTGGTGCATGTGGCGGCCTTACAGCTCACATTTTCCAGTAGAGTCCTGATTTCAAATATTTTATCCTAGTGGCCTTATAAATAATCCAGGTGCCCTAGAAATTCCACCATCTAAAACTTATTTTCTGAAGTGTTTCTCACTGCCGAAAAAAGCACAGAAATCCTTTGTTAGACTGTGTCACCCCAGATTTGGTTTGAAATATATCACTGTACCTATGGAAAGACTTTTTTTGTTTTCTTTGTTAAATGATGGGGTTTAGAAAGGTGAAAATGGTCCTATTTGGGGCATATCAAATTAGAAATAGATGACCCAATATCCCAGATCTCTGAGGAAATGTAAGCATTCTTTCTCTTTAGATATTAATATTTATTCAAGAATGTATGCAGGCATTCAGTCAGATTCCTCTTCAACATCTACCGGGTGGAGGCATGATACTGGGGACTCAGCTAATATGACATGAATTCTGCTTTCAGAGACTTCCCCTCCCGTAATGGGAGATGAAGTGTGGATACATATAATAATATAAGTTTTAAAGAATAGGTATGTTGGGGAGTATAGAGATCTCCCAATTGGGAAGATCCAGAAAGATTCCAGTTCACTAAACTCTCACCAAAATGAGTGTAGTAACTGTTGCCTATTGATGTGCAATAAACTAACTCAAATATAGTGGCCTGAAGCAACCACCATCATTTATTGCTTTATAATTCCATGATTTGGGCAATGTTCTGCAGGCTCAGCCCTGTCCCACGTGGTGTCAGCTGGGGTGGCTCACTGGGGCCGGAGGATCCAAATGGCTTCCTTCACACATCTGTCACCATAGCCGGGAGGGCTGGGGCAATTTGGGCTGTCCTTCCAGCAGGGTAACTGGGCTTTGTTACATGGTCATTAGGGTCGAAGAGAGGAAGAGTGGAAGCTGTCAGACCTCTTAAGGCCCAGGCCCAGAACTGGCACAGGGTCACTTCCACTGTATTCTGTTGATCAGAGCAAGTCACCAGCCCAGCTCAGAGTCAAGATCCACCCTTTGATGAGAGGAATGGGATGCACATACACTAATGGGAGGAATCTTTGGTGGCCATTCAATCTACTACATTAACTGAAAATAAATCTATTATTCTAAAAGCTGAAGAATGAGATCTCATTGTCTTAACTAGCGTGTTTTGGTCGCTGGTAAGGGCTGGCTGTATTTTCCCAATTGTCTATGTGTGTGAGCTTCACGTTGGTCTCAGTGGGCACAGTCGCTCACCTCTGACATGCCTCTTGCTACCTCACCCAACCCAGAATTAGATAAAGGGGATTTCTGCAAAGTTTATATTGAGAGTGATTCTACTGAGGCCCAGATAGCCTTCTAGGCTTCTTATTTAAAGACAGGGTCTCACAACATTGTCCAGGCTAGAGAGAAGTGGCTATTCACAAGTGCAATCATTGTGCACTACAGCCTTGAACTCTTTGGCTCAAACAATCTTCCTGCCTTGGCTTCCCGAGTAGCTGGAACTACAGGTGCACACCACCATGCCCAGTCCACTCTAGGCTACTTAGCTGTCCCTTTTACCTCTCCTTTGCTCTCCTCCACTACCCTTGCTCCTTATCAGTTCCTTCCCCTTGGCATCCACTATTCTTACCAAGGTTCCTGCCCCTCTCTCTTGTTCCAGGTACTAAAACAGGTGCGGATATTAGTGATGGTACTTGTGAGGCTGGACTGCCTTCCCCGGCCTCCTACGTGAACCCCTTCCCAGTGCTCCATCTCATCGAGGACTTGAGGCTGGCCCTGGAGATGCTGGAGCCTCCTCAGGAGAGAGCAGCCCTCCTGAGCCAGATCCCTGGCCCAACAGCTGCCTACATAAAGGAGTGGTTGGAGGAGAGCTTGGTGAGTAGGCCCACGGCCTGACTGGGGAACCACCAGGGAACATAGTTACACAGCCCATGGAATGCCACCACTAACTGGGGCTGTTGACTCATCTGTAACCTTCCAGCCTTTTCTGCTTCCCAGCTAGCTTTGACCAACCCTTGCTGGGTGGTCCGTCTTAAGTTATACACCCTGCGTTCTTGTGGTCCATGGTCACTCTCTCCTGAGGAGAGGAAACCCAGAGCCAGAGAAGGGAAGGCATCAAAGATTTCACATACCATCCCTACCCCCCAGGATGACATGTGCTACTTATGGAGTATACTCCCTGACTGGAGTCTCTACCCTCAGCTGGATCCCACTACCCCTTGTTTCTTACCACAAACTAAAGCCTGGATACCTCATTTATTTCTTTACTTCTGTCCCTACTCTTGGCCCTAGAACTACTTCCTGTCCCTGAAGTGGAATGCAGATTTGCTAACTCTTCTCCTGCTCTCTCGAGATCAGGCCCACAGACCTGACCCACTAGTCTCTAGGGGAAGCAGATGGGTAAACAAAGCTACAGCTTCCCTGTGGAGACCAGCGGGTTAACTTTAAGAGATTAGTACTATGTAGGAATGGCCCACTGGGGAGGTGATCTGGAATGTGACCATTCTAGGGCTGGAGGCAAGGACAGTGGGAAGCCAGGGGAAGTGTGTGATTACCTAAGCTGAGTTTGAGGGTGAAGAATGGGATGCAATCTTCTAAAGCTAGAGTCCTGAAGACCTGATTCAAAATTGAAAGTAGGCACAGATGTGGGAGGGCAGGAACAGGGGCATTAAATTGGGAGGGAGGGCTTGCTGTTGGAGACCAAAGAGATTGGGATACCCTTGTCCAAAGGCCAAGTCACATGTGATCAGATGGGCTGTTTCTCAGATGTCCTAGCTTACTGTCTGTTCAGGAGGCCTCTGTCAATACAGTCTCATCCCCAGTCTCATCCTCTGAACACTGAACAATTCTTCATTATATTCATTATATGTGTTATTCAGTATTTTCATTGCATAGGCTGTCTACCTGGTGTGTGTAATATACCTATACCAGTGTGGTAGGCAGAATAATGTCCCCCCAAAGATGTCTATATACTAATCATAGAACCTGTGAATATGCTGCCTTACACAGCAAAGGGCAAGACTGCAGATGACATTAAGGTTGCAAATCACCTGACCATACATTAGGGAGAGTAGTCTGGATTATCCAGGTGGGCCCAGTGTAATCACAAGGGTCCTTATAAGAGCCTTCTCCACTGTTCTCTGAATGCTTTCATTAGACAGTAGAGACTTATTTCATTTGCTCCTTGTCAGCTCTGCTCAGGATCTTACCACCCCATAACCACGAGATTCACTGAAGTGTCTTCCCAAACAAAAGCACAATCTGCCTGTAGGACAGAAAATAGCTGGTTTTTATTCCTCCCTGTACAGTTTATGATGCCTATGGATGTTCCTTAGTCATCTTATATGGTTGTCCCTCAATTTATGAGACCATTTCTCTAATTTTTGACACTTGGATTATTTTTAATCTTTCTCTAATATATGGCATTGCTGCAGTGAATATCTTTGTCCAGAAATATTTGTCTTTATCTCTAGATGTGTCCTAAAAGTAGAATTACTGAGTTCACATAGGGTTACCAGATAAAATATAGGATTCCCAGTTAAATTTGATTTCAGATAAGCAACGAATAATTTTTAATAAGTATATCCATGCAGTTTACTAAATCCGACAGCTCCAATCCAAAGATATTAATGTCTGTAAGCCTTTTGATACATTTTTCCAAATCACTTTTCAGAAAGATTTTACCGATTTATAGGGAGGCAGGGTTTGAGGTGAGTCTATCATACTGCATCCTGATCAACAGTAATCACTTAAGATTAAAAAATAGCTTCACTAATTTCTTAGGAGAGAATATTTTCCTGTCATTTTTGCATTTTGCATTTCTTTCTTTAGTAGAAAGGCTAACATTTTTTTATTAGTCTATTATTTATTCTTCTGTATGGTCTCTAAACTTTTGATTTCATACCTTATCTAGAAAAAAATTCATCCCCCATATATACATATTCACATGTGCAATATTTTTCTTATATATTTAAGTTATTAAAAATACCCCCCAAATAGAAGATTTTTAAAGAATAGATAAAAAAAAATGGTTCTAATATTTTTTTTCCCCACACACCCCAGTGATCACCTTAAGCCCCTTGAGTGGGTGTAATCCCACCCCAGTCTATTCATATTCTACGCTCTTCTTTCTATTAGGATTTTAGTGCTTTTCTTATCTATTTGACCTTTCATTAGCCTTTGCTTTATTTGTAGCATCTGTTTTCCTCACTTTGTTATTTAATGATTATGGTGCTTTTCAAGGCATAGATTTTAAAAGATTGTAATTAACTCTGTCAGTCTTTCCTGTTTTGGTTTCTTGTTTTCCTTTTGACTCTAGAAAGGCTTTTCCCAGTCTCAGATCGAGTAACTATTCACCTGTGTCCTCCTCCAGTAGGTGTATGGTTTGATTTTTATCTTATAGTTAACTCTAATTCACCAATGATATTTTTTAGTGTGTGGTATAAAAAACGGATTTAACTTTTAAGATAGTTTTTGGAAATTTATTAAAAATATTTTTGATCCAAAGGCAGTTGACATGGTTGTTGGTTTTAGTAAAATGTATTGCAGAAAACAGCTTGCACTCAGATTTGCAGATCTGTTTGAGGGTTATTTACAATGGTTTGGGGAATGCCTGCCTTTGGAAGGAAGATTTCCCTAAAAGTTATTGCGTTCATAAATCTTTTAGAGTAATTATGGCCATCAGCAACCTATGAATAGTGTACTTTTAGGGGGTCAGAAGTTCATATAAACATTCCAAGATATGAGGGCTGGATGTTAAGGTTTTGATTCTGGACAGAGAGAGCTTATCTGCATTTTAGGTCTTGCAGACCCAAGGTCGTTTTACAGTCTTTCTATACACACATTCCACACTAGGTCTTAATCTGTATGGAAATAGAATTCAGAACAGTGAACAAACTCCCCAAGTGTTTTAGATTGGTACTTTTAGTTAGAACTTGCTACTCAACTTTTAGTTGATGGCCCAGCAGCTTTGGTATCCCCTGGTAGCTTGTGAAAAATGCAGAATATGGGCCCCCACCTCACAACTACTGAACCATCTCTAGGTGACTCATATGCACATTAAAGTTTAAGAAACATTGCTTTAAACCATAGAGACTCACTTGAATTATTTTTAAGAAATCACATGTGGATTAAGATTAGAATTGGAACTAGTGAGGCAGTTCGAAGGGTTAGGCAGGACGGACCAGTGCTTTCTCCCTCATGATGTCTGCACATCCCTTGCAGGTTTGTTCCATTCTCCTCTGCAGGCACACTGGCTTTGGCATATACCTCAGAGTTACTGCTTTGTCATAACACTGGCCTGACATGGTCCAGTTCTGCCTCATGACATCTCTATCAGTTGGAATACTTTCTCCAGGAAAGTGGTGTAAACAGTAAGGAGGTTTATATACCACTAACAAGATGTCCAGAGGACGGGCGGTCCCAGGGATAAATCAGTGGCTCTGGGTGACCTCAAGGGCTCTGGCTCTTGTCTTCTTTCTGTCCTACCATCCTCAAGGGGTTGGGTTTTCCTCAGGCACCTCCCCTAATGGTTGCAAGATGGCGACTGGAGCTCTAGGCAGTGTCCACATACAGACACAATTGTACAACTGTGTCCAGAGTTAGGGAACAGTTTTAGCATGTCTTTATTTTTTAATCAGGTGAGAAAATCTTTGTCTGAAATCCTCTAGCAGACTTTCCATTTTGTCTCAATGGAAAGGATTTGTTCACATGTACATACCCTAGCTGCAGTCGAGGCTGGGAAAGCAAGTATTGTCGCTTCCATTCGCCACAGTAGGAGGTGGCCTCTGTCAGAAAGGGAAGGTGATGAAGTTGGTGGGGGGTAGGGAAGAAGGATCCTGATCCTCAGGATGGCAGTTCAGAATGACTGCCACAAACATCCACGAGGTTTGAGTTTATTCTTCTCACCGACTGACAATTTTTTTTCCGTATTTTCTCCCTGTTTGTTTGTTTTTTTTAACTCGAATTCCTAAAGGAAAGGTTCTGATTGGCTAGCTTGTAATTTTTGAGCTAAGTCCTCCAGGCCCATGAAGAAATGTTAAGTGTAAAAGAAATAGGAATTGAAGACTTTTAATTTAAGCACTGCTATGCATTAGCTGCCCTTGGATCAGGTGTCCACCCAAGGACCAGTCAGCTGTGGCCAGAGGGGAAGGACTGACTGCGGGAGGAAATGCAGACCTGTGCAGGTGCTGTTCGTCAGGGACTATGGATCCCCCGGCACTGTAGCATCTGTAGTCCACAAGAAAAGTGGGCTGCAGAAGAGGCAGTGGAGGATATAGAGGAGTGGTTGATGTTAGAATAGGACAAGTAGCAGAGTAGTCCTGGGCCCTCCCTCATGTCTTAAATGGCGAGGGAGCTCCTGGTGCTAGAGCATCGCAGAAGGCAGCTGGGTTTCTTTAGAGTGGGGCTAGTCCCCCCTCTGCTGGGTCCTGGCAGGGCTGAGACACAGCTGGACCAGCATGGTCAGGAGCAGTAGGAGGGCTGTTGGCCAGGATTCTCTGCCCAGAGATGGGGATAAACCAGCCAGACTCATCCTAAAGACCTAGTGGCGCAGACCTGCTTCGTATCAGTGGTGCTGGGTTGTGAGTGAGTTTCTGGGGCTCTGGGTCCTGAACCGGTGTCCTGCCCCTTGGCAGTATGTACAAGGAGAAGTGGACTCCAGGGCCCAAAGGGCATGCATGAGGCTTTCTGAGCTGGGGATACCCCCTGGGGACTCAGTGAGACAAGGAACAAAGGGTCCAGATTCCCTTTGTCTAGAGGCAATATCTGCACCTGAATTCCCAGCCTAGCCCATGTACTCTGGGCGTGCCTTTTTTTGGAGACAGAATCTTGCTCCACTGTCCCAGGTAGAGTACAGTGGCATCATCATAGCTCAC